TATAATAAATTTAATAATAAATATATTTAATTTTGCCTTCAAAATTTTTATGCAATAAATCAAAAACCTTAAAACTGATGACTGTGCAGTTAGCAGCTATATTATACATACATTAGAAACATAATAACAACAAAATCTTATTTTGAGGTTTTTACATATTGAGACAAATTTTAAAATCTCAAAAATTAATAAAATTAATTAACCAAAGATAATTAAGTAGTTTTTAATAAATAAAAAATTCCAGACAAAAACTTCAGTTAATATGTTTTGGATGTTATGTTTACAATTTCATTGCATTATTTATCTAAATATATAAAATTACTTGTCTGACTGACTGACTTAGTCACTGATTTATCATCGCCCAGAGCAAACTGTTGAACCTAAAGAGGTAAAATTTGGTACACAGTTAGGGTACATCATGGAACTGCACACTAAGAAGGGATTTTTCAAAATTCCCAAGCAGGAAGAGAGAGAGAGAGCATTAAGGCTTAACCGGAAGAACAGTTTCTACTGTACTATTTTAGATGCAATTTTTTTGTTTTCAGCTACGTTTAGTCTTCATTGAGTACTTAGGTGTATTAAATTGATAACATTTCAGACATTGTTATAAATATTTTTATATTTCGATTTTTTAACCAAATGTTCGAACCGTTTTAAATTTGAATTTTTTATTGCACATTGGTTCGATTATAAAATGATTGTAAACGTTTCAGAAAATTGATAAAATCAAAAATAGTTCGTTTGATTCTCAGCAATTCTCATCATTCTCAGCGGTAGGTGTTATGTAACAATTACTATGGTTGTTGAAATACTGAATACAAATGGGGTTTGCTTGCAAAACCTCTGCGGGTGTTGCGGGTAACAGCTAGTTTATTAATAAAATCAGACACTTGATTATTACATGACTTGCAATGGGTTAATGTTACACTGCTGAACTACTGAGCAGACAAAACAGGATTGAATCTTAATGCAAGAAATTTCTGCCTATTTTGGTTCATATTGGTATGAAGTTCACTCAGCCTCCTTCCTAATAGATATCTGGAAAATAATCCTTTAGGGGAATAAGCAAGATCATATGTAGATATTTATCATTGAGTGGACATGGGGACATGGAAGCTGATTTTGCCAGCTCATACCTATGGCTGAAACCAATAATCCGTACAAAGTATCTCAAAAAGGCTGGATACCCTCTCCCCATTCTTCCCATCCCTCATGCCCTTATTTTTATACTGTGTATCTCTTAATTTATAAAAATATATATTATGCCTTTTTTTAGTGTGTGTGATGAATAGGGAGGATGATTGTACTCTCTCTCCCCAATGCAGTTTCATGACACAATAGAATATATTTCTTTACCTTTAGTTAGTCATAAAATCTTTATGTACTGGCATTTTCTTCATTTATTTGTAAAATTACTATCCTTATTTCAATTAGAAATGGCAGATAGTATAATTAACACTTTAAGAAAATATATACATACTAAAAAGTCTTCACATATCTCTCTTGTCAAATCACCAGAACCAAATAGTCTTGCATCACAGAGATGATCTTTTAATTAATAGAGGCCTCTGCAAAATTATGCAAATACAGTTAAAAACCATTCACTGGAGAATGAATGCTTTCTAACTGTATTTGCATAACTTTCCAGAGACAGCGTCTAATAAAAGATCATTTTTATGAAGCAAGTCTGTTTGGTTCCTGCAATTGAACAAGACAGATATGTGAAGACGTTTTATTATTTTCCTATGTATATATTTTTTTAAATTAACATTATTTTAACTAAGCTTATTTAATTAATATTATAAAAACTTTAATTTTTTAAAAATTAAAAATATTCTTTGGATTATAATTTTATTATTATTACAATCTGAAAAAACTTACTAAAGATGCACTTGATTCGACTGCATTAAACATTAGATCTTTTATATAACTAATAGCTTCTGATAAAGGAACTTTATAACGTTCTATACTTTCTTTGCAAAGGCAATCAAATGCCAGCTGAGGCACAAGAAGTCCAGTTCTATGAGTACAAATAATAAAATTAATAATTTATAAATTATTTTAAAGTAAAATAATTACAAATTTAATATAATCAATGATTGTTGTTAATGAGTTGATTACCAAATTAAATTTTTTTAACACTTTATAGTTTATATTGATGGACTCAGTTTTGCCTATACATCAATTAAAACTAAGAATAAATTTATTTTATTTTATTTAATAAAAACATCTTTCAAATATAATACATATTCTATTAGACTTTCTTGAAGATATTATGATTGATTAATCAAATCAGCCAATGTGAATAGCAGAATATTAAAAGTTATAGTATATTAGTTATAATTTTGTCCATTACAATAAGTTTGACCCCAGTATCTTATCTGTGTTTTTGGTTTTGAGACAAACTATCATCCATTATAGTGCTACAACTAAGATTTACCTACTTAGGTCTATGACAGTTAGCAGGTAGGGACCTAAGTGTCATAACTAGAATTTATGCATCTAGAGTAAATTATTGCTATGTGCTCCCAAATAACAGTAAACAGTATTTATTTTTTTAACTATAAACATTTTAATAATCTTCCAAAATTAAGAAAAACATGCATCAACTCAAAACAGATTTCTTTTTATAAGCTACCATGTCATTTTATTAAATTGTTATGATTAAGAGTGTGACAAAAACTAATTTTATTATTTTTACTACAGTTTATTTTTTGTTTTATTTTATTTATAAATAATTAGATTTTGTGTTTTGACAATCATAAATGTTTGAAACATGCAATCAATTTTAGTATTCAAAAGTTTTGTATGTTTTACTCATATAATCATTGGGATCTGAGCTAATATCCCATTTTCTATATGATACTGGGGCCTTAAATAACCAGCATGAGTGACTCCATTGATTGGAAATATCACAAGAAATATAGTTTTGTGCAAGTTATGAATCTGAATCAGATTCAATAACTTGCACAAAACTATTCCCTGTGGTAGTAGACTGATATCTTACTGAAGAAGAAATTAAATCACAATTGAAAAAATCATTTATAAAAGGTCATTGTTCTCCAATTTTACATATGTTAAATATGGCAGGATTCCTGATCAAGACAGTAAAGATCAAGCAAGAATCTAGGTTTGAGTCCAAGCTGGATCCTTACAGATTTTCACACATAGTTTAACTCAAACATTTTGAATCCCATTCCTTATCATCTGGCTGCCCCACTGTAGAGCTGTCTGAATTCATGTTGGATAGAAAAAAATCCCTTTTAGTGTCCTTAGGGCAAAGAGTTACGAATAAAATATTCAAACCTGTTGCATTATAAAAAATTAAAGTATTGTGAATTAAAGTAGTGAGACTACATTTCTTTCACTTATATTATTATAAAATATAAATGAAAGAAATTATGATGTAAAATTAGAATTCATAATTTCAAAGCTTGTAGTCTCACTATTTGTTCACAATACTACTTTTAATGTACACAATACAATATAAAACTAAAATGAAAAAGTACTTTTATAAAATAAAAAACTTTTTCAATTTTATTGGAAATTTTCCAGAAAACAGAATCCATAATTTGAATATGCATTTTTTCTTTAAAATTCATTAAATGTGAAAGATAGAATTTTATATTTCCTTAAATTACTCTTAAACCATTACCTTCAAAATTATTTATTAATTGAACACTATCAGCTGTATAAGTATGGAACAGTCATAATGAGATCTTGTTACATTTAAGTTAATTCAAATTACATGTATTCCATTCTACATTATATTATATTTCATTTTTTTTTTTTTTTATTGTACCCTGAACTAACAGTTAAAAGCATTTCATTAATAAATAATTTTGCCGGTAAAGATTTAAAGCCTGACACAAATGAGTCAATATCAAAGCAAATTGATCTTCTTCAACATTAAAACAAATTTGCCTGCAATTGAATAATGACTCAATCATTTCAATAAAAAGCATATTCAACTTGTTGGATATTTTTGTTTGGTGACTAGTGATGATCATGAACAGTTGATCATCACTCTATGGTGCTTGTCAACAGTAGATAAAAGCAAACAATCACCTAAAGCCACTTTTTGTCTAAATGCCAAAGCAATGACATTGATGTCAGGCTTAAAAAGTAGTTTAATGAAATATTGAATACATTAAAACCTGTTCAAAATAGAACATGAATAAAAAAGAAAACCTTTCTAAATGGAAAAAAGTTCTTCTAAATAGAATGATTTTCTACATTAAAAAAGAACCTGTTCAAAACAGAAACCTGCCAAACCAAAAAAGTATTCAGTATCTTGTGATTCTGGTTTACACAGGTTTTACTGTATTAGTTTGTGAAAAATAAAGAATAATTTATATTTAAGTTAATTTAAATATCATACCTAATTGCATTATTATTCAAAATGGCTCTCATGATATTATCTTCAGTTATATTCATCTCCTTCAAAAAGTTAATATAATCATCATTATGAAATATTTCATTTCATATCATAACATAGAGTTTAGCATAATCTACAAATTACCATTAATTTGAAAAAATAAACAATGTAAAAATGTGTTATTTGAAGATAATTAAGGTATTAATATACTCAAATTTGAAAAACAATTACAAAATATAGAATTTAATTTAGTATTAATTGTAAGTATTAATTGTAAGTACAAAAAGTATTAATTGAATGCAATTTTAGATTTACAAAACTTTTAGCTGGTATTATTTATCAATTAAGAGATGCAAATTTGCATGTTTTTAAAACATACAAATACACTAAACATAAGTAATATTTCTAGACTTCCTTTGAAAAATTAAGTTTCAAAATGAGTTACAGTTCATGTCAAAATAAACTGAAGTTTCAGTACAAGACATTAGGTATGTTTGTAAAATTGAACAAGTTAAACAAATTAATTGTAAAGTACTAATTCTTCTCAATGAGCATGCTCTATGTTAATAACATTTCAAATGAACTCTAACTAAATTTGCAAGAGAAGAAGTTAGTTCACATTGAGAAGAAACTTGTATCTGATAAATATTAATATTTCTAAATTCACTGAAGTATAAATCACAAATTAAAAGATGAAATGACAAATAACTACCCATATGAAACAAATTAAAGTGAGAAAGATATTTTGAATAAAACTGCACTCAGACTAGTTTGGTGGATGATGCAATGAGGCAGTTCTCAACTGACAAAATAAGCAGTCAAAAATGTTCAAAGGGAAAAAAGATAAATAAATATTCATACAAGAGTGACATAGCAATCATATTGAAAACTTTTGCTTTCAATATGATTGCTATGTCACTCTTCACTTGCCCTACAGCAAAAATAGATTTTACCTCAGATGAAGTTATCTGACAGCAATAGCAACATTCACAATTTCAGTCAATTTCAATCAGAAACATTTTGTTGTAAATGAATCAAATAAAATATTTTGTTAATAATAATAATAATAATGATAATAATAATAATTTTATTCTTGTTTAACTCATTCAAATTTACAATAAATACTTCAATTTTTCAGGAGTAACAGAGAAAAGAACATTTTGTTATTTCTATGCAATTGCTACCAACTATTAAGAGAACAGTTATGATGCCACAATTTCTAATTTTTGCTTAGTCAAACCTGCTTCTCTCTGCTAAGAAAAGTATTCTCTGTCATGCAAAACAGTTTTAGAACTGTTTCTAATTACTTGTTTCTAACAACATGCTTCATGAAATAAACTTCATTTGCCAGACATTTATTATGATAATCAAAATTTTTGGATAATGTTTTGTTAACTTCTAATATATCTTATAATTATTTTGAAATTATATATATAGTTATTAAATTATTAATTATTAATCACAGATTATGAAAAAACTTACTATTTTCATTTTTTTAATAACTTCATTGTAAAGAGATTTATTTATCAGACTACCAGCATTAATAGATTCTAATTCAATATTTTCAGAAAAACCAAGAAGAGATGTTTTAAAGTGTTCAATAAATTTATTCACCAGTCTGTAAAAGAATTCGTTTAATTTTTGTTTCAAAGAATATTTTTAAAATTACATGAGATAAAAATACAAATTCCATTGTGGAAAATATATTAATCATAAAAATATTTACAATAAATCAAAGCAAAGAATATTTATATTTGGTGTAATTTATAAAATAAATTAAAAATTAAATCTTTAAATTATAATCTTTAGAATTATTTCGACTATTTTNCACCATTGTCAACCTTCTAGACTTGCCAGATTGCGGAACTCACTTGACATTCGACTTTCACATTTTCACGATGAAAATGTTGACCACAACCTCTCTATTCTTTGTCTTTACCTTCTCATTCCCAACACCAAGTTCAAAAGATAAATGAACTTTCTTCCCCTCACAATACAGTGATTTGTTCTACAGTGAAGCCACTTCCAGCTTCAAGTACATTGCTAGTAGCAACAGACTGTTGCCACTCCAGTTAGATATTATAGCTCCATGGATCTGGTAACAGACTGCCAAATTATTAATGTTATGCATCTACAAATTTACCAATAATACTTTTTTAAATTACTTAAAGAAATCAAAAATTAATGAATACTTCTGCTTTTATAATTCTAAGTTAATAAATAAATAAAATATCATCATTTTACTAATTGATGTTCTTATTAATAAAAGCATGGACAATAATTCCTTATAATAGTACTGTGTATTCCTGATAAACACCCCCATATCACCATTGCAAACATTTCTGGTTCTTAGAACCTATTCAACTATTACACTAACACCTGTTATTAACTCTACAACTGCTTATGCAATAGCCTTTGTCTCTCTCTTACAAGGTGGAAACTATTGCCAAAAATCTTTCATATGTTTTGTGTATGATTGCCTTATTAATTATATTGTAAACTGAAAAACAAATTACTTACTGTAATATAAATCCAATACGGCTAGCATCAGTGTCATCATAATTATCTTGATAGGCACCTAACTCATTTCTGAATTTGATTAAATTTTGATACAAACTTTGTCTTATGTTGGGTATTCTCTCTTTAATATGACATTTTAATTGGGAATTTAGAAGTCGTTGTAAATATTTGATACCCATTCTGTCAGCCATATCTCTAAAAAAATTATAAAAGTAATTGTAACTATATTTATCTTGTTATACTAAACAAATTAAACAAAACAAAATTACTGTATAAAAAAAGTTAATTAATATCTTAACATAAACTTATAAATATTTCATTTTATAACTCATAATCTCATGCTTTTTATTTTTAGTTATATTTTCCTTATTTATTTTTTAATTTAATTTTTCTATTTGTATTTTTATTACTTATTTATTTTTGTGTATACTATTTATATATTATTTTCTACTTTGTATTTTATTTTGATTTTTCTTTGCCAATCTTCTGTGCTTGCAACCACCATCATAGATTTAATGAGTTTCATTATATTTAAATTTTTTGATTTAAATTTTGTTCTATATATAATTCTATAAACCTAACAATGACTGTCAAATATGGTTGAAAATAAAAGTTCTTCTAATAAATTAATTTATACTTAATGAATTATTGGTTTCTTTCAGTGTTTTTACAGTAATCTCATAAAACAAGGTTTTTGGTTAACTTTTAATTGCATTACATATTTTGGAAATAATTATATAAAGTACTTACCATATATTTTTTCTACCAAATAACTGATTCAATCATAAAATGCCTGAACTGCGAATAAAAACAACTGAATGTTTGATTGGATATAAAATGCTAAACACTACAAACAGAATATACAAGGGTCCTTGGGTGTGTAATCACCCCTTACATACAAGCTACTATCATGCTAAATTTAATTTCTTAATTATTTTCCAATCCTGAGATATTAAACAAAATAGATGCCAATATACACAAATGTGCAAGTGAGTGAGATTTGCAAAAACTGGGAGAGTAAAATTTGGCATGATTCCAATACTTTCCCTTGCTATGTATACATAACATCAGGGAAAGTAAAAAAGCACATTTGAAAAATATTCTTGGAAAGGATAATTTCAAGGATAGTTTTCAATATGATATAGTTCAGCTGAACCACATCAAATCAAAAGATCTTGAGATTTTTAATAAGATGTACCTCAACACCTGCATAACATAGAATCTTTGGGTTGTAAAATCAGATAGAGTATCAAAAACTATTACTAGTACAGGCCTAACTAGAATACCAGATAAATATTTTTGTTATAATCATGTTCTATGTCAAATAAAAAAAATTTAGGGACTAAATTTTATCGACATTGGCTAAGTAGAAATTGAGAAAAGTGAGATTAAAGACTTTCCCAGAAGTAAGGGATATACAGATGAAACATATGGTGTAGGAAATATGGTTGCAATACCTACAATAAATAAATCTAATTGAATGTTTTCTTTATTGTTTTTATGTTAATAGAGAGGTTGCGGCCAAAATTCAAACATTAAACTTGTATGGCAAGCAGAAGTACACGTTTGATGTTTGAACTCCAAGTAAAACATGTTGTGCCACACGCACCAACTCATGGGATTTTGTTGAAAAATAGCAGAAATGTTTAACAACGACAAATGTTACCAGTGAAAGTAAATAAACAAATTAAACTATTTTAAAGTATTTATAGGATGTTTAATAAACACTAAATAATTATTTTTAATTAACGTCATGTCTCCTACCGTATGATAGGATGATAGAACTATCTCATACTTTTGTTGAGGGAAGTAGTGGCTTATGTAAATCCAAAAGCAACTCGGGAAATTATTTTAAAAAAATTTACCAACATATTATGCTGTTGATGGTAGATGATGCTGTAAAAGAACAAACCTACTCCTACAGAATTATGATAAGCTATTATGAATACATATATATGTAAATTCTATAGGCACTTCACATCACTGCAAAAGAATTGAATAATTAAATAATTTCTGGATTGAAAACAAATGAAGATTAAGCTGAACTTCTACCCACCATGCTAGACATAGAAAACACCATTGTCAACCTTCTAGACTTGCCAGATTGCGGAACTCACTTGACATTCGACTTTCACATTTTCACGATGAAAATGTTGACCACAACCTCTCTATTCTTTGTCTTTACCTTCTCATTCCCAACACCAAGTTCAAAAGATAAATGAACTTTCTTCCCCTCACAATACAGTGATTTGTTCTACAGTGAAGCCACTTCCAGCTTCAAGTACATTGCTAGTAGCAACAGACTGTTGCCACTCCAGTTAGATATTATAGCTCCATGGATCTGGTAACAGACTGCCAAATTATTAATGTTATGCATCTACAAATTTACCAATAATACTTTTTTAAATTACTTAAAGAAATCAAAAATTAATGAATACTTCTGCTTTTATAATTCTAAGTGTGTTCAGATCAGATTATAAATAAAATTTTAAATATAGAATAAAGCATTTGAACACAACAAAATCTGTAATTAAATTTTTTAAAATTAATTTACTAAAAAATTTACTAAGAAAACTATTAGCATGTTTTTATAAATTTTATAACTTTATAGTTTACATTTAAATGCATTCAAATAATTTATTTTGAGTTAAAAATTTTGTCCATATTCTTATCTAAAACACTTTTAGTAATGAAAGAAAGTATTCATTTTTTAGTAATTTTAATAAAAAGTATTGACAATAAACTTAACAAATGCTTGATATCTCCTTAATTAATTAATTAATTATACCCAATTTATGGAATAAATGTAGCAATAGGGATTATTTATGAATTTGCAGTTGAGTATTTTATTTTTTTATTTTATAGAATGAAATAAAATTCACCCTCCTAAATAGCACTAGTCATAAAACACTAATAAATATCTGTGAATGGATCTTTCCCAAAAAAATTAAATAGGAAACACTTCAGTATCTGTGAATGTGCACTTTTGCATTGCAAATGACATTGTTATTACCATATCAAGTGATTTTCTATATATATTTTTATTGTTTGAGCTATTTCAGATTAATGTCTCACTCAATTTAGTATCAATTTCAGAAGTAAACAAATGACAGCACTAAATCAAAGTTTGAAATTTGTTTATTATAGATTCAGAATAAAATCAATTATCTTTTAAAGTTTATAGAATATCTTCTTTGTTATTAACTCATCAACATTTTTATAAATAATAAATATATGAAATTTTACCTGTAGCATTTTGTTGATAAAAAGAATTCTTCCTCTTTCTGTAATCCATACTTAATATCCTTCCTTTTTTCAATATCATCTTGACTTCGATTAACTACTCCCACATAGCCTGGTGATAAAAATAAAGTAAAATTTAATAAGTTTATACAAATTTTTATGGTATCATAACTTTGAGCAGCTAGACCTCAGATCATCTATGTTTAAAAATCAAACTGAAAGAGTGTGTAGGTTATGCAATGCACCAAATTATATAGCAATTTTAAATTGCAATTACAGATTCATCAAACAGCATTTCCTTTGTCTAAAATAATGAAGAACATCTTTACAAAATGTGAAAAAGCCTTTGAGCATCACAGACATTCATTTATCAGGTCAGTCCATAAGTTCGTACGCATTTTTATCTACAAAAAAAGCAACAAAAAATTTTAATTAAATCTTATTTCAATCTATAATGTATTCACCATTATTTTGTACAATTTCTTCCCATCTTGATGGTAGCTTTTTAATCTCGTCTTTGTAAAATGATTTCGGTTTTGAATCAAAATATTCAGAAATAGCCTTTTTTACATTGTTCTCATCCTCAAAAGTTTTTCCTTTTAAAAAATTCTGCAAACTCCAAAAAAGATGATGATCACTGGGAGCAATATCTGGCAAATATGCTGGATGAGGTAAAATTTCCCAGTTGAAGCTTTGGAGTTGAGCAGTTGACGTTGTTGTCAGTTAGCTATTGACAGTTCATGTGGTATCCATTTTCCTAGCTTTGAAACTTTTCCGATTTGTTGTAGATGTCTATGAACAGTTCCATGGGATGAATTTAAATGTTCCGCAATTTCATCAACTGTTAAAGACGGTTCTGCTTTAACTAGAGCAGAGAGAGCATCATCATCAAAGTCAACGGGTCTTCCAGTACGAGCCTTATCCTCCACACTAAAATCATTATTTCTAAATCTTTTAAACTACTTCTGCACAGTCCTTACACTAATTACAGTTTGATTATGAACAGTATTTAATTTTTTGGCTGCATTTGTAGCATTCTCACCACTTAAAAATAAAAAGTATAAAACATGTTTCTTATATTCATCTGTTACTTCCATTTTAACGAAAATAAACAACTGAAATGTTCCCAATTCTGAACAGTATTATATGAATGAGATCCAATTTAACACTTCAGTGTAAAAACTATCACATTAGACTGGCATTTTTAACAGCAAAACAAGGTCATAAAATACGCACGAACTTATGGACTGACCTAATACTACCATAAATGTTCTCAAAACCATGAAATACACATATGTATAACTCATATTTAGTTTACTCTCATTCATTTTCTGTACATTGAATCCATGGCTTGTTGATATTTTCTGTGTGTATACGCCATCACAGATCATTTGCACAAAATTACAGTAATCAAATGAATTAAATATTTTTTTTTAAATATTGAAAAGAGCAGAGTGATAAAGTTTCAATTTTTTAATTCATATTCTGGATAAATACACTACTAATATCATTCAATATAATGTTTTAATTACATTGTTATCAAAAGTGTTTTCATTACAAACTGTGAGACATTTCATTAGTCCAGTCTAAGTGGCTTATACAGAAGAATGAGATTTCTCAGTTTAGAATAAATAATTATATAGAGTTCAATCTTTTTCTGACAAAATGTAAAATTATCTGAGTTAAACATACCATAAAAATATGTTACTTTGGTAACTATTCTAACAGTGCAAAAATAAAGAAGCCCTTTCTAGCATTCTACAAAAATATATTAGTGAGAGAGAATCTGCAGCTTTTCCTATTCATACCCAACTTGAGATATGATTGGGATGGTATCTCCATAATGACACCAACTTTACTATTCACAGATCATCCTCCAGATATCCATTAGAAAGAAGATTGAGTGAAGACTTGCATGAACCACAACAGATAAAAACCTACTGTGACCTTAGGGTCGGTATCTCTTCAATATCACGTCAGGATGACACCACTGTATCCTTCGGTCGATACAGAGACCACAAGTTCGCGCAAGCGTATAGGTATGAGGTTTGGACCTAGAATGGAGAAAATGGAGAGAAAAACGGAAGAAACTGCACTCAAGAAGTTTAAACATAAACAACCATTTATTTATATATAATCTAAATTAGGTTTACATCTGTGAATAAAGTGTGAACATAAACTATATGAATCGTGTTCAGTTATTGATAATTTTCTAGGTCTAATTTCAACCAGTTTCGTGTTTAGTTTATGCAGAGAGAGAGCGCACAATAGTGCGTGGACAGGATAAATACCTTAGGTTGTTTTGTTGATCAAGTACCAGCACAAAAAAAAAGGTCCAACAGTTCTTTTCAGTTGTGTAGGTGTTGAGGTCTTCTAAGTCTGTAGGCAAGAAGGAGGTGTTGGTTGACGTTCAGGAATCTCGGCGGGAGGTAAACGATCGGCGCAAACACACAATCCAATAATAACTTCCACCCCCGTACTCATCGTGCCTGTCCCTTTTATATCAAGTCCTCTTTTTCGAACCTTTCCCCGATTTTGTCAGCGATGACGACCTTCTTTGTCCAATGAGGTAACAGGTGACACAATCATGACACAGAAATGTACTCATCTCAATAAGGAACTGTTTAGTCGCTGCTTGACCGAAGTCTATCAAGCTGAGACAAAAAGAACGTATGTAGCCGGCTTACAAAATATATTGCTTTATTCAACACGGGTTTCGAGTTTTACAACCGAGAGCTCGTACAAACTCTCAACAAAACCTACGTTACAATACCACGTGTCCGAATACAAAACACTTAACCCCTTCACTCTCCCTTTTCAATTATTTTAGCATACACAGGCCGGACCTGTTACATTAACACGCGAAGAACAAATCCTTTTATCAGAATACTCACTAGGAGAATCCGGTACTTGAAAAACGGTCAGGTGTTGGACCAAAGTCTCTTCCTGTTCGGGAAATATATGTCCCCGTCGATGTATCGGGTAATATAGCTTCGTATATTGTAAAGTTCACTCGGTCCCCTTTTCGCACAACACGGATGCACTTGGATTTTGTCCCCTTCTACTCGGTAAGTCTCTCCTTCTCTCGATGACGTTGTATGACTTCTTTACCTTCGACGATCTACCACAGACGACAGGAACAAGAACCAAAAACTCACCCCGTCACATATGCCACTGCTATATATATCCCTGGGTTTCCAAACCCACCTGACCTCTTCGTTGGCCAATCACAAAGGTCCAGGTTCAACAAAGGGACAGGGTAGAGATTAAGGGGTACACGTGTCTCACAAACACAAAGAAAAACAAAAAAAAACCGACACAATTGAAATAAGTAAAACTAAAACCTAGTACAATGGTAATAACTATGCAAATCATATTTATATACAATAATAAGAATAACAGTAAGCTGCGGAGCACTACAGAACCCAACTCATGGGAATCGAGGTTTTTATTGATTTTATTTTTCCTTTTTCTCTTTTTTTTATTTTCTGTTTTCTTGTTCCGTCTTTATAAAGTTTATTAAACAAAAAATTTTAGTTTATAACACGAAATTTCTGATCCTCACACTACTGCTACTGAGATTTGATTGTCCAGTTATTAATCCAGTGCATTACCACTAGATCACCAATGACTTATTCTAACTGTACCACATTCAAATTTAACTAGTCAACATCAACACATTTTACTGTTTCCTAAGCATCAATCTCCACTATAATCAAAGGTCTCTGACACATTCCTTGGTGAGTAATCATTCACATTTTTTTCTATTAATTTTAAACTGCAATTAAAAATCTATATCCAAGTAATAATACAGCAGAATCTCATTTTAATTAATAGATCACAGAATAACAGATTTCTCAGAATAATGGATTCTTTTCCAGATCCTGTCAAATCAATGTAATTTTACCTCCTTTTAGCATATCCATAACTTGGCATAATGAATTTTTTCAAGCCTCATCTATTGTAAACTTTATCTTTTTTAAACATTTAGTTAATACTTGGCTGTTTCCAAGAATTTGTAGAGCATGATGATGCTCTTCTTACATCTGGGAATATGTACAAAGAAATTGAAGAATTGTATGAAGAGATTCAAGCAGACTGATATGATTGAGGAGAAGCTATCTAGTGAACATTCTGACACTAGTCCAAGTGTAGAGCTGAAATTTAGTGAGGACATTAAATGTTTCCAAGTTGTGAAGACTTTCCTGATGAGTTTCAGCATAAAAGATCAGGCTGTACACTCATTGCTAATAAGAAGTGGTTGTTGTATTCAATAAACAGAAAAGCAATCTTAAACATCTTATCCAAGATGGATAAGATGTTTAAGAAATTGTGAAGTCAAGTGACGTGCTAATGAGCATATGTAATTTTCAATGGCATGCCATGACTTTTGATGATAGGGAAGCTGTGTTTCTGTAAGAAGTCGACTTCCAGGAGCAATCAGTTAATTGAGTGTCGGTGATGGTGATGGTCTAGGGTCCATTCATATTCGTTTGTTCGATAAGCCAGTAAAAACCGTAGACTTCTCTAAATATATTTTTAATATCTCAATTACATTCTGAATAACTAGCCATGATATAAGGGCTAAAATTAAAAATAAAATTATAAAAACTTACTTTTTATAATTTTATTTTTAATTTGGTGAAATAAAATGTGTGGTGGATGTACATACCTGGTACAAAATATTCTTCAATTGTATGAATATACTTTTAAACAAAATTATAATTAAATATAGCTTTGTAAAGAAACATACACAAAAATAACATAAAATATTCTTTACTTTTTAAATCTTAAAACAATCCACTTAATCAAATAACTCCCTACAAATGGCTAATGGATGGAATCAGAGACAGTCCTGGTAGGTTACAGTGCGTACATGCACGCAGACTGCCAAATCCCAAGGGTGCTGATACTGGTCAATGTCAAATGCCTCTTTTGTTGCATCACTAGTATACCTCAAAGAACATAACAAGATTGTTGCAAATTTTAAACATTTCTCACTATAGCTGTAAAAGTCTAAATATGTTAAACTTAACAGATTGTCCGTTGTTTGTTTTCTAACTAATTCATTTTAGGACCAGGTATCCACAGAAATTTCCAAAATTTTTACAA